TTACCTTTATCTTGTTGTGGTGCTCAAGTATTTTATAAATTCTGGATATAAGTCCCTTATCTGATATGTTATTACCGAATACTTTTTCCCAGTCAGTGGACATAAGTCTTAAAAATGTGCAACTTAAGAAAAGTTCTGAGAAGTTACATTTTTAGAACATTTTAAAGAGAACTGTTTAAAAAAAAAACCCAAAAAAACTGTTTATATAAACATTTTCCCCAAAGAAGGAATAATACTCACCAACCACTGCACATTTGTATGTCATCAGAGAAGCCAGAGCTTTCACTTCATCCACACTCACATCAGTGCTGTAACGGATGCCTGCCAGAGTTTATTTAAAAAAAAAAAGGTGAGAAAGAAGAGAATTTATGTAGAACATCCTTGTGCTAAGTTTTTGAAAACTGCTACCAACTAAAAATGCTTACACTTCTAACATTTTACATTCTGACTACTTCTAAGAACACTTGAAGCAAGTTACATCAAAAAAGAGCAACAGGAAAGTCACAGAGAAAGTATATAGCTGCGCACTGGGTTTTAAAAAAATTTACCAGCAGTCAGGAAATGAAAAGATGAGTTGCACTGGGAAAAGTCTTCTGTCAGAGACCTCTCCAAAGTACTGAAGAGCAACAATGTCAGTCTGGAGACTAAGGTGTGCCTGATTCAGGCCATGGTCTTTGCAATTACTTTGTATGTATCAGAGAGCTGGACAATGACTAAGGATGACAGAAGGAGAATTAATGCCTTTGAGCTGCGGTGCTGGAGAAAAGTGTTGAATATATCATGGACTGCTAGAACAAACAAGTTCATTCTGGAGAGGGTGAGGCCAGGCTGTCCCTTAGAGGCAAGGATTCTGAAGCTTTGTCTGACATACTTTGGACATGTTGCAGGGTGGGATCAGTCCTTGGGGAGAGACATCATGCTTGGGAGGATATAAGGACAACATAAGAGAGGAAGACCCTTGATGAGATGGATTGATTCAGTGACTGGGGTAATGGGGGTAGGTGTATTAGACACAATGGGATTGACACAGGATAGAGCGGGGTTTAGGGCTATTGTACATAGGGTCGCTATGAGTCACAGGTGACTCTACGTCACATAACAACAACAACAACAACAACAACTTTATATTGGTTGCATACAAAATCCATATACATTGTTTTACAGTTCCGTTCATTCACACTGTTCCATACAATTTGAATGCTCTGGTAACAAAGAGAAAAATGTGTGTCAGGGCAGCCTAGACTCTGCTCTAGTACCAACACAGATAGGAACTCTTGGGGACTTACAGATGACTACACCAAAAATGGGGAAGATGGGACAGGATAGAGTGAGTGTTCAATCTGTTGGTTGAATAGGGGTGCTATGAGTCAGAGCTGACCTGAGGCACCTAACAATGCAGCCACTACAAACCAAAGAGATCTTTATCTGTTTCATCCTTCACTGCCAGCCTCCTTCTACCTGGAGAGGAGGCCAATTAGGCAGACAACTTGGCCGTTAGGTGTCTGGGTGAAGGCACACAGAAAGGGGCTCTGAGAGGTCTGATTAGCTAACCTCTCATGTACTGTAGAGGTAAGTCATCTTTATTTTTCCTCTAACCCATTGTTTCTCAACCCCATGAAGAAGGGCTAAATGATTCCTGTACACAATTTTGGGCTGCCTGATACATACGTGTGTGAGAGAGAGAAAAAAAAAAGGAGAGGGAGGGAGGGAGATACAGATAAAGGATACCAGTGAAGCAATACTATTTTCTACCCTTCCCTCTACCAGTAGCGACTAAGCACCTCCTTCCACAATCTGCACTTAGGGATTTCTCTTTGAATTCTGAGAATAAACACCTTTCAGATATAAAATATACAACAGGAAGATCTTCTCTGCCAGCAAAGCAGGAGCAAGAGAATATAGCACATCCTTTGGGCCCAGAAATTTCTTGTGCCAGCTGGACTTATTGTGGCAGGAGAACCAACCTGGGATGGAGCTGACCTTGGGACTGCTAACCCCACCAAGGACACAACCAAAGCTAAGCTAAGAGCCTTTGCTCAAGTCTGTTGAATAACTGGGGCTGAGAACTTTGTAACACTGGCCTAAAGCATGAGGTTCAAGGCTGAGGAGCCTGCAGGCACATTTGGGAGGCCGTCCTGACTGTATTTAGCTACTAACCTAAACTACAGCCTTATGACATCCACCCTCCATCATCAATAAAAAGAAAAGAAACTATGAAGCAGCAAGTAGGTGAGGAAACTAGCCTAGTCAAATTTTTAGTTACTTTTGAAATATTTCACAAAAATCTATCTAAGCATAAATGTTTTAAGAGAATTTTATTTGGTGTATATATGACCATGAATGGTGAATTTTAAAGCTGAATATATTTCCTCAGTCTAATGGAAAAATAAGAAAAGCTTAACTATATTTTGCATACAGTGGATGCTGACATTATTAGAGGATAAATGTGATTAACTTTATGGAGTGTAAACCATCATTGTTCCCCGCACACAGTAGAAATTTGCCCAGCTTATTTATTCTTCTATATGCTTCTAACCCAAAGACAGCAATTCTCTGATGGCTGGAATCTACCAGCAAGCTCAGTGAGAAAGCTGGCCAATCTTCTCCCCTACGATTTACAGCCTCTGAAAATCTACTGGAGGGTTGGTTCCATTTCATTCAAGTCACAAACTTTCTTCGTTCTGGGAGGCACTCCTGGATCACCCTGAATTAAGATGTCCCTTCCTTACACATAATATGTTTCCCATTATTCTTTTAAAGCCTTTGGAAGCAGACCTAATTACTTTAATATTCCTTTACTTAATACATTGGGGAGACTCTTTGCTTTCCCACGGAGGTGCTAAAAACTGTTTAAAATAGTAATAATCACAAATCAAGTAGTCAGAAAGTATTCAAACAGTCATCCTACTTTTTCTGGAAATAAATGTCAAAGTCTCATTCCAATCTTTTACAAAACTGTATAAACAAAGTTGATTTTATTGTAAAAGTCCTAGTGATGAGTCAGAAAAAAACAAAACATGTTTCCAAGCGCTGGAGTCCAGAAATGCTTGCTTGTAAAGAAAAATTTTTCTTCCCAGCCACACCTATTTAGAAAGATTGATTGTAAAATGCTGAAAAGAAGTAGTTGCATAGATAACCTATAATACTAGAAGCATTTTCTGTAGACATGAAGCAATAAAGAACTTCCAGTAAACTGAAGCAAGAACAAAACTTTAAGGAAAGAAGCAGAATAATGCAGTGGAAAAAGCAATGGAAGAGAAAAAGACATCAACTTATAGAGGAGTCTCCTATTTAGACAAAAGAAAAGAACATGCTTACATACTTTCATTTTTATGGTTTAACTAATCACTGCCAAGTATTAACAAGGTTAAACTGTTAATTTGAAAAACTAAATATTCTGAAAACATATCTAATAAATAAATCAACTACATTTTTAGCAATACTTGAAACAAAACAGGTTGAAATTATCTATCCCCAGGAAAAGCTGGCTGACCTTGTCCCTCTGTGATTAGAAAACAAAGGTAACTATGAAAAATATACTATCAGCCAGAAGTACCTAGTGGGTTCCACAATGCACTGCTAAGCAAAAGGTCCAGTGGTTTGCATCTCATGGGAGAAAGATGAGAAAGTGGGCTTCTAATGAGATTTCAAGTCTCGTTCTGAAGAGACAAACTTTTGGGAAACAAATGTTTCACTCTTAGAAAAGTTAATTTTATTTTATGTCCTCTTTTCACTAGAAATTGTAAATCAAATAAGAAACATACATATGCTCATTAAAACTTAAATACAGAAAAACAGAGGTTTTCCTTGATGACTGCTCGTGACCACCATCTGCTCCTTGGAAGTGGTTTAATTTTTATTGGTAATTTAAGTACACATCCTTTCAAATCTCTTTCTGCAAATTTACACATATTGATGATGATGCTGGCCACGGTGGAGCTGAGCCCGGACTCCTAGGACAAAACCGTGTGGTGAGGGTTTCTCACCGTAGTCTCCACGGAAGCTGTTCTCCAGGCCTTCCTCCTGTAGAGCCACTAGGGGGTTGGTTAGCCATTGAAAGCAAACCACCTGTGGTATACAGGCTCTTAACACTTGCCTGTAAAACAGAATCCTGTTTCTGTGATTAAGTATTTAACTTCTTTCTCAGTGGATGAAAGGAATACTATGCATCCAAAGGAGACCTTGTTAAATTTCTTATGATCCCTCACTCTGGTAACAACCAGTAGTAAACTTGGTCACACGTTCATACCAAACATGTTTTTAAAGGAACTGTAAAGCTGAATTACATTTAGGAGAAATAGTTTGTTACAGGCGGGGAGTTCTGGTGACACAGTTTGTAGGGAATTGCAAAGCTAACACTTCACAGCCTCAGAATATCTGAGGGAGAGTCAGCTAAGAGTTGTTCCAACTTGATAGCAATGGATTAGGTGACTTTATTTTTTTAAAAGGTTCAAGATTTAAAGGTTTAACTCTTCAGGTAGCCAGTTTTGTATAAACTATTCACAAATTTCAGTGATATTTAAGATGGATCATAAGAAAATAAAATTATAGGAACAAAGGTGATAAAGTATGTACCAATATCACATTATGCAAAAACATCAACAGAAACATTCTTTTATTACCAATTTCCCTGCAGATTATTTAAAATCAGATATCCCCTATTTTAGAGCAAAAATGCCGGTGGCATGTTTGATATTTTTCTCCGTCATTGCTTCCAAAGCCACTCTCTTTCTCTTTGCCTGAAATGACCCTCTCTAAAGCTTTACAACCTTCCCTATATCAGGACCCCTACCTTGCAATACTCTCACTGCAACTGCACCTTGTTTGGAGAGTTTTCAATTGTAACTTACTGACTGGTTCCAAGAATGGAAAAATATAAAAACAGAACAATAAACTACAAGCTAAATGAGAATGACATAGTACAGAAGATACTTCCAATTGGAGGGATTGGTACGGTGACTTCAGCAATGGGGTCAAGGAAGAGATCATGAGGATGACGAAGGTTAGGGCAACGTTCTGATCTGCTTGGTTCGTGGGTTTGCTATAAATTGTAGTAGTAGACTTGAATGTACGTAATGACAAGAAATAACAAACGTAATGAGAATCATAATTATGTTGTTGTTGTTGTTGTTATGTGCCGTCAAGTCACCTGCGACTCATAGCGACCCTATGTACAACAGCCCTAAACTCTGCTCTGTCCTGTGCCAATCGCACTGTCTCTGACACTCCCATCCCAATTATCCCAGTCACTGAATCAATCCACCTCATAGAGGGCCTTCCTCTGCTGCGCTGTCCCTCCACCCTCCCAAGCATGATGTCCC